TTTCCTTTAAGTTCAGGAACAAGACAAGGATGCCCACTCTCCCCACTTTTATTCAACATAGGTCCTTGCCACAGCAATCAGACAACACAGAGAAATAAAAGGCATCTACCACCACCACCACCACACCACCACCATCACCATCACTACACCAAAAAAAAAAGGCATCCAGATTGGGAAAGAAGTTAAACTGTCACTGTTTACAGATGACATGATATTGTACATAAAGAATCCACTCTAAAACTATGAGATCTAATATCTGAATTCAGCAAAGTTGCAGGATACAAAATTAATACACAGAAATCTGTTGCATTCCTATACACTAATGATGAACTAGAAGAGAAATCAGGAAAACAATTCCATTCACAATTGCATCAAAAAGAATAAAATATCTAGGAATAAACCTAACGAAGGAAATGAAAGACCTATACCCTGAAAACTACAAGACACTCAGGAGAGAAATTAGAGAAGACACAAATAAATGGAAACACATCCCGTGCTCATGGATAGGAAGGATTAATATTGTCAAAATGGCCATCCTGACTAAAGCAATCTACAGATTCAATGCAATCCCTATCGAAATACCAACAGCATTTTTCGACTAATTAGAGAAAATAGTTCTAAAATTCATATGGAACCAGAAAAGACCAGGAATAGCCAAAGCAATTCTGAGAAGGAAGAATAAAACAGAGGGAATTACCCTCCCTGACTTCAAGCTCTACTACAAAGCCACAGCAATCAAGACAATTTGGTACTGGCACAAGAACAGACCCATAGGCCAATGGAACAGACTGGAGAGCTCAGATATAAACCCAAGCAAATATGGTAAATTAATATATGATAAAGGAGCCATGGATATACAATGGAGAAATGACAGCCTCTTCAACAACTGGTGTTGGCAAAACTGGACAGCTACATGCAAGAGAATGAAACTGGATTATTGTGTAACCCCACACACAAAAGTAAACTCAAAATGGGTCAAAGACCTGAATGTAAGTCATGAAACCATAAAACTCTTAGAAGACAACATAGGCAAAAATCTCCTGAATATAAGCATGAGCAACTTTTTTCTGAATGCATCTCCTTGAGCAAGGGAAACAAAAGCAAAAACGAACACATGAGACTACATCAAACTAAAAAGCTTCTGTACAGCAAAGGGCACCATCGACAGAACAAAAAGCCACCCTACAGTATGGGAGAATATATTTGTAAATGACATATCTGATAAGGGGTTAACATCCAAAATATATAAAGAACTCACAAGTCTCAACACCCAAAAAGCAAATAACCCAATTAAAAAATGGGTGGAGGACATGAACAGACAATTCTCCAAAGAAGAAATTCAGATGACCAACAGGCACATGAAAAGATGCTCCACATCACTAATTATCAGGAAAATGCAAATAAAAACCACAATGAGATATCACCTCACACCAGTTAGGATGGCCAGTATCGAAAAGACTAAGAACAGCAAATGCTGCCAAGGATGCAGAGAAAGGGGAACCCTCCTGCACTGCTGGTGGGGTGGGAATGTAAGCTAGTTCAACCATTGTGGAAAGCAGTATGGAGGTTCCTCAAAAAGCTCAAAATAGAAATACCATTTGACCCGGGAATTCCACTCTAGGAATTTACCCAAAGAATATAATTTCTCAGATTCAAAAAGACATATGCACCCCTATGTTTATCTCAACAGTATTTACAATAGCCAAGAAATGGAAGCAACTTAAGTGTCCATCAGTAGATGAATGGATAAAGATGTGGTACATATACACAATGGAATATTATTCAGGTATAAGACGAAAACAAATCCTACCATTTGCAACAGCATGGATGGAGCTGGAGGACATTATGCTCAGTGAAATAAGCCAGGTGGAGAAAGACAAGTAGCAAATGATTTCCCTCAGTTGTAGAGTATAACAACAGAGCAAAAATGAAGGAACAAAACAGCAACAGACTCACAGACTCTCCTCTTTGGTGGTTACCAAAGAGGAGGGGTGGAAGAGGGTAGGTGGAGAGAGGGAGAAGGGGACTGAGGGGTATTATGATTGGCACACATGGTATGGGGGGTCACGGGGAAGACAGTGTAGCACAGAGGAGGCACACAGTGACTCTGTGGCATCTTGCTGCACTGATGGGCAGTGACTGCAGTGGGGTGTGGGGGGAACACGATAACATGGGTGAATGTAGTAACCACATTGCTTTTTCATGTGAAACCTTCATAAGAGTGTATATCAATAATATCTTAATTTAAAAAAAGGGGAAAAAAGAGTTTCACTTGCTCTATATCCTTAATAAAACGTGTGTTTTTTAAAGGGAAAAAAAGAGAGTACAAATGTGGCAAAGAGTATATACAGGTATTCTCTTGTATTTTATGTGGGTTTTTACCTTTTCAAAAGAGACAATTGGGACATAAAGTTGAAAAAAATCCCCTATCAAATTGGAAAAAAGATAAATCCTTACAGATAAATAAGGGGCTGCAAAATGGCCCATCAATGCACCATATTTGTCCCCTTCCTGAAAATCTAGTGGTGGAACATACACTTCAGAGTAAACCTCTCTTTCAACCAGAATGTCCTGCTGACTGCATGCTCCTTATGGCCACAGTGCCTGGAGCCAAATTAAGTAACAACTACAACAACCTAGCTAAGTAAAGGGAGTGGGCATCCACGGCCGGGCAATCTCCCTGGTGTCCTCATAGTGTCCTATGGGGGGGGGGGAGCTTCATCCCCATTTTACAGATAAGGAAACCAAGGTCAAGAGAAACAGTGGACTTGGCCCAGTTCACCCAGCTGAAAAACAGCAGAGCCAGGACTCAAACCTAAGATTCTCTACTCTTAAAATCAAAACTTGTTGGGGAAGGACAGGGTTGTTCTGCTCATCACCCAAATAAACCTGTGAGGACAAATCCCACGAAGGAAAGACAACCAACAGAGAAGCAGGAAACCTCCTGTGAGGGAGCTTGGCCCTGGGGCGGGGTCAGGGAAGGCCTGCCTGAAGTGGGCTGAGGCCTCTTGGGTGCACGGGAGGTGCCCAGGCTGCAGGAGGAAAGCACTCCAGGCAGGAGGAACGGCATGGGCAGAGGCCTAGAAGGTAGCCAGTGAGGAGGGACCGGGTCGGAATGGACAGCAGGGGCCAGACAAGAGGCCTTAGAGGCCAAGGGAGGACCTTGGCCTTCCTCCTGAGGGAACTAGGGAGCCAAAGGAGGGTTCTGGGCAGGGAGAGGAGCACAGGTGTAATTTAACAAGACTCTCTGGCTGCTTTGTCAAGGGACGTTTGGAGGAGCCTGGGAACTGGTGACCCGGGAGCAGCTGGGGCCAGGACCCAGGGTTAGAATGTTAGTATACTATGCAGGTTCAATGACTACTTGGGCAAAGATCCAGAAGCACATTAAAGCTCTGTTTTGGGGAGGCACGAGGAACCAGGCCTCTTGGATAACCTAGAAGAAACAGTCGTGGATACAACCCCCATGGAGAGCAATTTGGCAATATCCATCAAATTATCTTTAACCAGCAATTCCACTTCCACAAGTTATTTGAGTGACACACATGAAGGAAATAACAGGTGAACTGGGTTGTTCTCTACAGCCTTGCTCGTAACAGTAGGAGACAGCAACTACCAAAAAGCTCACCAACAGAAGACCAATAAATTACCACACATCCACATGATGGGATCCGGTGGTAGAGAATAAGCCAGCTTCAGACAAGCTGACGTGAGCTGAACTCCAAGATGTATTCTTAAGTTAAAAGAAAAAAAAAGGCAGTACAATATATATATATAAACATTCCCCTCTATGTACAAAAGGGGGATAGTTTATATGTACAAAAATATCTGCCTGTATAATCATAAAATGTTCCTGGAAGGTTACATGAAATACTGATTAACAATGGTTACCACTGGGCAGGGAACCCGGAGGCTGGGAGCAGAACTAGGGGACTTATGTTCACTTTAATTTAACCTTAATTCTGTTATGCTACTATAAGCCTGTATATTTTTGCAAGTTTTGAGCCATACAATTCAAAACTCTAAAACAAAATACAGACGTGTATAGTTAGAAATCTGACCTATACTTTAACCATTCAGCACTCCCCCCTAAAAGTAATCACATCTAGTTTTGTTTTTCCTTTCAGTGTTGCTATATGCGTACCAGCAAATACAAATAGAAAGTCTTATTTTCCCTCTTTTTGACACAAGAGGAATCATAATACCCTTCAGGGTTCTGCATCTAAATTTTTTTGGTTTTATTAATATATCTTGGAGACACTGCCACTTCAGTGCCTAGGCGATAACCTCACTTCAAATCTTTTCGATATTAACTGTACACATTTATACTTATCTGCACACAGCTAAGTGCCAGATGTTTGTCACGACTGCATAGGGTTACGATCTGTAGATGTTCATTCATTATTTCACTAGTCCCTTGCTGATTAACACTGAAATTTCCAATTCTCTATACATACAAGGCTGCAAAGCATAACCTGCACATGCCCTTTTCTGCCCAGAGGCAGGCATATGCCCTCAATAAAGCCCTAGAAGTGGAATGGCCTGGCCTAAGGGTAATGATGATGACAGCAATACTAGTGCTACTAGTAGCTTCTCTCTCCTGAGTACTTACCATGTCTGAGGCCCTTGGCATGTATAATTAACTCATTATCATCCCATTTTGCAGAGGAGGAAACTTGAGGCACAGAGGGGTTGAGTAACCTGGCCAAGGCTGCACAGCTAGTAAACGGCAGAACGGGGATTCGAACTCCAATTCTTAAGGCCTCACTTGTGAGGCAGAGGCTACCCTTGCCTTCGCGGGCAATGAGAATTTTGATCAATGCTGCCAAATTGCCACGAAGAAGGCCTTTCTTTGAACGCCCTTTTGAATTTGGAGCCAGGCGATACCATCATCCGCTCCACCAATAGCAACAGCAGTAACAAGAGCCACCCTAAACCCAGGGGTAAATACGTGGCTTGTGACTCTTGGGGGCCGGGACGCGCGGCCCCGGCCCGGGCCCCACCTCGATGGCGGGCAGCGTCTTGCTCGCCTCGGTGCTGCTCTCCCCCAGGATGCTGCCGGCCGAGCGGCCCTCGCACTCGTAGCGGAAGCGCATGCCGCGCTGCTTGGGCTGCTCGGTGATGATCAGGTGCGGCCGCGGCCCGGGGTCCGGGGCCGGGGGCACCAGCCGGCCCAGGGGGCAGCCCCAGGGCGGCGGCGTGGCCGGCGCCGCGGGCGCCGCGGGGCCCAGGGTGACGGTGCTCAGGGAGGCGGCCCCGCGAGACACCAGGCGCGGCAGCCCCTCGCCCGGGCCCGACTGCGCCCCCTCCAGGCCGAAGCCATTCTCCTTGATGTACTCGTCGATGATCTCTGCGGGAGAAGCACAAACTCGGGGTGACGCTTAGGAGAACGGAAAAGGCTTGGAGACCCCCGAGACCTGTGCCGCCCCGCCCTTTCCAGCCCGTTCATTTCGTCAAGACGTACTTCCCGTGGGCCTGGGCCTCCACCGCAGAAAGCCGCTGCCCTCCTTCCCGCGGACAGCTCCCCAGCCACCCCCAACACGTGAAGCCAGAACCGGGGGATCCGCCCGGCTTCTCCGTCTCCTGCACCCGCACGCCCACTCCCCTCCCTAACAGCTCCTCAATCCATGCCTCCGTCACCTCTCACCTGGATAAAGGGAGGGCCAAGTGACAGGCGCCCCTGCCTCCATCTTGCTCCCTTTAATAATAACGAGAATTTAACAGCTGCTCACCCCAGCCCTCCCCATCTCAGACAGCAGCACCCCCATCCACAAAGTGCTGAAGCGGGAAGGGGGCGCATCCCTGTCAGGTCCTCATGAGCCCCCATCTGCTATGTCCAATCCATGAGCTACTTCTGCCTCTACCTCACAGGCATTTCCGTTCCCGCGCACACAGCCAGAGGGATCTTACGTCAGGCCCCGTCCCCACTCTGCTCAGAAGCATCTCCTTTAGACTTAGAGTCATCACCCTCCCCACTGGAAGCTTTCCCAAAACTCCATTCACCTGAGAAAAACCGAACGCCATGTGCCTGGGCCCGGTAAAGCAGAGCCCTCCCCTCCGTCCTGGGCCCCGGGCGCCCCCCCACCTCCTAACACCCTCCTTGCACCCTGCTCCCATCTCTTTTCTGTTGCATGCACCCACTAAGCCTGGCCCTCTTCAGGCTGTTGTGCTTGCTCCCCCGTCTGCCTATTTCACACGTTCCACCCCCATTCATCACACCCTGGCCCTTCTCATCCTCCTGGGCTCAGCTCAAATGTCACCTCTCCAGAAAGGCCGAATCAAATGTGTCTTCCCCAGGCGTGTCTCCCTCTTCCTGTTGGTTTCCTTCACAGCCTTTAGCCCAATCTAACAATATTTTGTTTATGCCTTTCCCTAGGGTCTCCCCCACCAGCTTATCGGCTCTAGGAGGGCGTGGAGTTTGCTTTGCGGCTGAATCCCTGGTGTCTAGAACAGTGCCCAGCATGCAGCAGGTGCTTAACACAATTCACCAAAGGAATGAACAGTAGTCGTAGTGAGAATAACACTAAAGTCTGTTGACATATGCCCTTCTCTGAGGGTCAAGCATACGCCCACTCCCCTCCCTAACAGCTCCTCAATCCATGCCTCCGTCACCTCTCACCTGGATAAAGGGAGGGCCAAGTGACAGGCGCCCCTGCCTCCATCTTGCTCCCTTTAATAATAACGAGAATTTAACAGCTGCTCACCCCAGCCCTCCCCATCTCAGACAGCAGCACCCCCATCCACAAAGTGCTGAAGCGGGAAGGGGGCGCATCCCTGTCAGGTCCTCATGAGCCCCCATCTGCTATGTCCAATCCATGAGCTACTTCTGCCTCTACCTCACAGGCATTTCCGTTCCCGCGCACACAGCCAGAGGGATCTTACGTCAGGCCCCGTCCCCACTCTGCTCAGAAGCATCTCCTTTAGACTTAGAGTCATCACCCTCCCCATTGGAAGCTTTCCCAAAACTCCATTCACCTGAGAAAAACCGAACGCCATGTGCCTGGGCCAGGTAAAGCAGAGCCCTCCCCTCCGTCCTGGGCCCCGGGCGCCCCCCCACCTCCTAACACCCTCCTTGCACCCTGCTCCCATCTCTTTTCTGTTGCATGCACCCACTAAGCCTGGCCCTCTTCAGGCTGTTGTGCTTGCTCCCCCGTCTGCCTATTTCACACGTTCCACCCCCATTCATCACACCCTGGCCCTTCTCATCCTCCTGGGCTCAGCTCAAATGTCACCTCTCCAGAAAGGCCGAATCAAATGTGTCTTCCCCAGGCGTGTCTCCCTCTTCCTGTTGGTTTCCTTCACAGCCTTTAGCCCAATCTAACAATATTTTGTTTATGCCTTTCCCTAGGGTCTCCCCCACCAGCTTATCGGCTCTAGGAGGGCGTGGAGTTTGCTTTGCGGCTGAATCCCTGGTGTCTAGAACAGTGCCCAGCATGCAGCAGGTGCTTAACACAATTCACCAAAGGAATGAACAGTAGTCGTAGTGAGAATAACACTAAAGTCTGTTGACATATGCCCTTCTCTGAGGGTCAAGCACTGCTAATACCTTGGGAACGTGACTTTGTTAAAATCCCCCAACAGCTCCGGAAGTCATACTGTGACCCTCCCCCCACCCAACAAGGAAGGCCAAGATTCGCCTCTGTGAACGCTTGGACACCACAGCCTCCCCGCGGACCTGCCCTGTGATACTCACCCAATTCATCTGTGAAAGGAAGAGAGAGAGAAAGAGAAAGGTGAGGTCCAGAAAGTGGTCAAGACTTTCATCTGTTAAGACAGATTCCCCAAACCCATCCCATCCTGGAGCCCACCCCACCTCCCCGTCCTCATCATGAGAAACTGGGCTCTGACTCCCTGGGGTGACAAATGCCCCCCCATACTCCCCTTCTGTACTACCCTCCCTTCAGCTCCCCATGTTGGGACCCCAGGGTCAGGGTACCCCCAAATGCCTCCCAAAAAACAATTAGGCCAGGGTTTACAAAATGTTGCTGGGAATCAGCGGAAAAGCCAAGGGTCTTCTCACCAGGAAAAAAATGGGACACCCAAGATTCTAACCAAAAATTGGGGATATTCCCTCCCAAAAGGCAGGTGGTCACCAACTGGCGTCCGAAGATCCCAGAAGGCCAATCCTCCACCTCCAGGCAACCACCCACTCGGCATCCCGGCCTAGCCCCCTGGCAGTGCTCACCCACCATCCTGGGTGCACCCTCTTGGTGGTGGGGAGTGGCAGTAATGCTGGCACAGCCCCTATCACTTCCTCAGGAAAGGCGGCCCTGGAGAAACTGAAACAAACCTCCTCATTCCGCAGACAGGACTAAAGGAAGGCCAGAGCCAGCAAGCAAGCCTTGGGGGTCACACAGCAAGGAAGGGCAGGCCGAGGCCAGATGCCCCACCCAGGGCTGCCTGTGCTGGCTGCTGGCCCCTGGCCCCTGGCTGCTGGACGGTGGCTGCAGACTTATCAACGCTGACCTGTCCCACTGCCAGACTGGTCTTCCTCCTCCACTCTTGGGGAGTGGCTCCTGGCAGCCAGACCTTTGTTCCTTGGAAAGCAGTTTTCCTGCACCCCTTATCTCATGTGATCTGTGAAGTCAGCAGGGTGGGGAAGGCACCCCCACTTGGTAGATGGGGACACTGAGGCTGGGAGAGAGGAAGGGACATGCTGTAGGTCATGGGCAGGGTCAACTTCCAACGACTCTGACTTGGAAAACCTTCTCAGGCATCCGTGCTGGGTGACCTAGGCACCCCACAATGAGTTACACTTTGGGCCTTCAGGGAGCTCCCAGGCTGTGCAGGAAAACCGAGGCCCAGGCAGGGGTGGCTGGAGCTTTGGACTGCTTCAGCTCAAATCCTAGCTCCGCTGCTTTTTAGATGTATGGCTTTGAGCACGTTACCTAACCACTTTGTGCCCTGGTTTCTTCATCTATAAAATGGACCCAATAATAATGCCTGCCTCGTTGGGCTTTTGTGAAAATTAATGAACTAATATATAGGAAGCACTTAAAACTGCCACCAACAGGAGGCACTAATAAATGCTGGCTGCTGTTGGACAGTGTTGGGAGGTAACACTTTATGGGCTTGGGTAAACCGCTTTCTCTCTCTAGGCCTCAGTCTGTCTGTAAAATGAAGAGGTTAGAAGGCATGGATTCAGAGCATGGGGTGTGAAGCCACACAGACGTTGATTTGAATCCCAGCTGTCCTTTGCTGGCTGTGTGGCTTTGGCCAAGTTGCTTAAACTCACAGGGAGCCTCCTTTATAAAATGAGGTCTGAGCTCCTATCTCAGACATTTGTGTGAGCATTCGGGGTCACACAGGTAAATTGCTTAGCAGTGTCTGACCACTCTAGACACTCCATAAAGTTCAGCTAATGTTATTATCTAAAATCCTCTTTCAGCCAGCAAATGTTGGGAAGTTCCTCTCCTTACACAGGGCTCAACTCAAATAACACTCCGCCCCTCAACCTCCCATGCAGACTTGCTACTATTCAGGGACAGCCAGGATGGGCCACAGAAAACCAGCTGTGTCTTTCCTGCCTCGGAGCCTTTACACAGGCTGGTCTCTGCCATCTGCCAGGATGCTCTTCCTCCAGTTCCTTGCATGGCCTCCTCCTCTTCCTTCAGATCCCTCTTCAAAAGTCACCTCCTAGGTAGATCTTCCCTGGCCACTCTAGGAGAGTGCTCTGGCCCCTACTCTAGCCACTTGGGAGTTAGGTACCTTTGTTTTACCATTTTCATGACACAGATTAGGATATGACCTTATGTTACCGTGACTCATGTCTGTCTCACCTGTGGATGGGAGCACCGCAGAGTAGGGGGCAAGTTTGTCCCATTCCCACCATATACCCAGGACCCAGGATAGGTCAGGCCCATCAAATGAGGGAAATGTTCCCTCCTACCCCATCTCCATGGTTCTCCCATCCTAACCCTGCTACGATATCACTGACCCCCAAGACTTCTTCACAGCCGCTGTCACATTTTATAATCCCACATTGAATTTATTGCTTATAGGTCTGCCTCACATCTAGGTAGGGAACCCCATAAGGGCAGAGCCAGGCCTGTCTCAGCACTGCCCACCACAGGACCAGGTATAGAACAGGGGCATACATATTTAATGAATGGATGATGCCAGAAATTACTCTCAACTGAAACCAAAGGTCTAGGTCTTAGGCCAGAAAAGTCTCAGCTTAGTTCCTGTCCAGAACCAGAGCTTGGGCAGTACCTGAGCCTAATGCCATCTCCTACCTTTCACTATCGCCTAAACTCACAGATCTATTAGAGAACCTACAGAGCTTCCTCCATAGCCAAGCCAATGCCTCTGGGGTCCATGCCCAGATTCTACCTCCAGACAGAGGCTCAGACCCAGCCCACTGGGGCCACTGGGTTTTCATGGTAACAGGACCGAATCCCTTCCTCCAAATTCCAGCAAACTGATAAGAGATGGTGTTGTCATCTGACCATGACTTTACATTGCGTTGGACAGCACTAAGTTTTAGATGGCACAGGCCAAGTGGCCTTACAGACTTGTGGTTCTCAGCATCTCCTAGGAACTTGTTAGAAATACAGACTCTCAGGGCCCATCCTAGACCTGCTGAATCAGAAATTTTAGAGGTGGGACCCAATAATCTGTTTTAACAAACTCCCAGAGTGACTCTGATGCACAGAAAGGTTTAAGAACCACTGTTGTAGACTGTCTAATAATAATTACTATTATTATACCACTAACAGTTAACACTTATTAAGCCTTTATTGTGTGCCAGACACTGCTTTGAAAGTTTACCTGAAGCAGCTCATTAAATCCTCTCAGTCCCCCTAAAGGGGAGGCACTGATATTATGCCCATTTTACAGATCAAGAAAATTGAGGCCCAGAGAGGGGAAGTGACTTGCAGACATTCACACAATGAGGGGGTGGTGGCATCAGCCTGTAATTATTACCCTCTGCACTACCATGGTCAATCTCTAAAGAAGACACCTCTTCTTAAGAGTGTCTTCACACATCTTAAGAGCGTGAATAGGTGGTTAGTTTGACCTGTCCAGCTTCTAATCACCCGGGGAGGGAGGGGAAGGGCACCTGGGGGCCCCATCTCAAGGGGCAGGGAGGGACAAAAGCCATTAGAGGAAAGCTTAGATGGACCTCGAAGAAACCCCTAGACAGAGGTGTGCCCACTGCCACCTCCACAGGATGCCCCCTCCCCGTCCTGAGCGCGCAGGTGGGCAGGAACTGCTCACCCGTGGTCCTGGAAACGGCGAGCGAGAGCGAGGAGAGGTCCGGAGACCCTGCAGAGTGGGAGGCACGACTTAGCAGGCGATAGAGACGCAGCGGGAGGATCAGATTCTCCCAAGCCCCACCACGTTCCTCTCCTGGCCCCACTCCGTTGGATCCGGCCCCTCGCCCTTTCCGCCCAAAGGGTCTGGCCTGGCTTACTGCCCTAACTCACGGAGGTTCCTTACTTTTTGCCAAGCACCTCGTCCTTCATCATACCCAGGCCCGCTCCTTCCCTCCTTGAAGGTCGAGCCTGAAGGAGCCCTTCTGAACCTC